TTTTTTTTATCTTTATTGATTTCAGAGAGAGGAAGGGAGAGGGAGAGAGAGAGATAGAAACATCAATGATGAGAGAGTCATTGATCGGCTGCAGCCCGCAACCCGGGCATGTGCCCCGACCGGGAATCGAACCCTCATCGCCTGGATCCTAGGTCGACGCTTTAACCACTGAGCCACACCCGGCCAGGCGGCTCCTATATTCTTTGAGCATACCATCCACTCCCATTTTTTGAGTACTTTTATACTTTCTATTTATAGTACTTTTGAACATTGATGAGGGAAATTACATAAATTCCTAAATTTTTTTTGTTTTTTTTTAGATTGCTTTGGGTGTGTTGGGTGGGCTAGCTGTTTTAGCATCCCTTTTGAAGACAGCGGGATGGAAGAGGCGCATTGGAAGTCCAGTGATTGATTCACAGGTATGGTCTCAGGAGCTTTTAAGTGTATTTTTATCTTTGACTATTTTATGTCCTTCTAATAAGACACAGCTAGCGGATGAGTAAAAAGTCACTCTGGGGTTTCTCAGGGGTATATGACTAGAGAGGTACATGCACACCTCCTTTCCCTCCCACATTGCTGCACTCCAGTCTGCCTCCCACCGGCAGTGCTGGTCTTGCCTCCTCACAGCCTCGCCAACACTTGGTATTTTTCCAGCCTTTCCATTTTTGCCAGTCTGTGGCATAGTGGTGTGTCATTGTTGGTTCAATTTTTATTTCTCTGATTACTCTTCATAGGCTTCATTACTCGTTGGATTTTCCCTTCTGTTTATCTATTGCCCATTTTTCTCTTAGACTTCCAATTGTTCTTACTTATTTAAAATGGTGTTGTGTGTTTTGTTTTGTTTTGTATTTTCTACATATGAGTCCCCTTTTGGTTTTTGGTGTTGAAATTTCTTCTCCAAGTGTGACCCATCTGTTGTTTTATCTACGGGTTCCTGTGTTTAACAGAAAGTCTTCATTTTGATACTGTCACACCTGAATAGTTTTTTGTTTGTTTGTTTGTTGGTTCGGTTTTTTTTTTAATATATCTTTATTGATTTCAGAGAGAGGAAGGGAGAGGGAGAGAGAGAGAGAAACATCAATGATGAGTGAGAGTCATTGATCGGCTGCCTGCTGCATGCCCCTCACTGGGGATCAAGTCTGCAACCCGGGCATGTGCCCTGACCAGGAATCGAACCATGATCTCCTGGATCCTAGGTCGATGCTCATCTGCTGAGCCACACCGGCCAGGCCTGAATAATTTTCATACTACAGTATATGATGTGCTTTTAGGACCTTGCTTAAGAAAGCCTTTCCTATCTCAAGTTTGAAAAATACTCTCCCATGTTTTATTCTCTTAACTTTTCAGTTTTACTTCTCGTTTAATTTTTTTTATTTTTTTTTTGTTTTTATTGTTATCTATCATTTATTGAATATTTAGTATGTGCCAGGCATTTTAAAACTTTACATGTATAATTCATTCAGTCCTTGCAATAGCCGTATGAAGTTGGGTATTATTATTCCCATTTTCCACAGGTGAAATTTTGGCAGACATTAAGTAAATGTTATGCTCGTTTAATTTTTATAGCAACTCAGTAATAATATTTCCATTTAGCTGGTTAAGAAAAACGAAAAAGCAACATCTACCATGTTTGTGGTGGGATATCTTCGTGACTACAAAGCCAGTATGCCAGGCAATCTGGGAGTGGGCTTTGATTCACTATTTATTTACTATTTAGGGTAGTTGTGGAAGGCTTTCCAGAGAAGTGGACTGTAACCGGTGTATTTTTATCTGTGCATTCCACACATAGTCACCAAGGGCCCACAGTCTGAGTGCCTGGCACTTTACCAGGTGCCGGGGCGTGTGACAGAGAGGCCTGGCCTCTACTAGGTGCCGGGGCATGTGACAGTGAGAGAGACCTGGCCTCTACCAGGTGCTAGGGCCTGTGACAGACAGGCCTGGCCTCTACCAGGTACTGGGGCGTGTGACAGTGAGAGAGACCTGGCCTCTACCAGGTGCTGGGGCGTGTGACAGTGAGAGAGACAGGCTTGGCCTCTACCCTCAGAGCTCAAGAGTTCACAGAGAGAGTCAGGGAAGAGTATCTGATGAAACAATACCCATTTCATTCCACAGAGTATTTGAGGTGAAAGTGTGGAGTGGTAAATCATTAAATGGTTGGAATTGGCAGACGAAGCTGAAAAGGTCATTTTGGCCTAGGTTGTGAAGGACCCTGTAGGTCAGGAATTTGTATTTTGTCTTAGGGAGGAGTCACTGAGGAAGAGTAGCACAGCTTACCCATCCATCCACTTTATGTGTCAGAAGCTAACTGGCGGCGTGGAGGCTAGACTGAGGAGAGGCGCTCCGACCGGGAGACGGTTAGGAAGCAGCTCTAGCTTTCTCAGGTGGCGACAGGTGGGGAAGGCTGCATAGGACACAGGCCGCGGGAGTGGACCAAAGGTGAGGGCCCACGAGGCATCTAGGAGCGGCTGCAGTTGGTCTTTCTAATCGATCCAGGAAATAAGGCTGCAAGCTTGAGAAACTGGTAGCAATGTGTTATTAAAAGTGCTGGTAGAAATACATTGAGTCTGTAACAACTGTAATTCTTTTTAAATTGCAGACAGTTATGAAATTCTTGGTATACTATGCTGGTGATCTGGCCAACGTATTTGTTACCATCACTGTGGGAACAGGCCTTTATTGGCTTATTTTCTTCAAAGTAAGTGAGTTTTTTAATTTAACCTGAATGCCAATGCATGAATAACTGGTAAGTGCTCTTTACAAAGGAGCTACTTTTATTTGGGAGTGTTTCTGATCAAGAGTATTGAGGCAAGTGCTAAGCTCACCATTCCCTGAGTGTGCTGGGTTTATTGAGAGCATTACTACCTTCCTCTGTGTGTTTTCTGTGGGTTAAAAGTTATGCTTAGTAAAAAGCTTACATGATTATGTTTAATGGTGGAATTTTTGTTACAGGCACAGAAGTCTGTCTCTGTTTTGCTACCAGTGCCGGCTCAGGAAGAGCGCTTTGTCACTTACGTGGGGTGTGCTTTTGCTCTGAAGGTAGGTTTCAAAGGACAGGTTAAAAAATGTAAAGGGCCTGCTAATAAACTTGTAAGTCCTTAAAATTAAAGTACATACTTTTAAAATCTTTGGTGTAGAATTTAGTTTGATTTTGAGAGAAAGCACAAATTACTGTATTTTACATAGGAAGTTTACTTTTATGTATAATAGCTCATTTTGAAAATCTGGCTTGAATAACTTTTTCTAAGAAGCCATAAATATGTTTGAATTAACATCTAAAAAAATTAATGGAAAAAATATCCTCCGGTGAGGATTACCAACAACGACGAAAAGGAATTAGTCTTGTTCCATAAGTCAGTTTGAGCAGAAGCTCCTAGGTGTCTGTTGTCGTCCTCAGGCTCTGCAGTTTTTGCATAAGCTCGCGGCCCAGGTCACCGTGGACGTGTTCTTCATCGACTGGGAGCGGCCGAAGGGCAAGGTGCTTAGGGCTGTGGAAGGTGAGCGAGGTGGCCGCGCGTGCCAGGCTCTTTTGCTCCCTTGCGGAGGGAGGTGAGAAACCCTCTGATGCGTTTGTCTCCCACAGGCGAGGGTGGCGTGCGGAGTGCCACCGTCCCCGTGAGCATATGGAGAACGTATTTCGTAGCAAATGAATGGAATGAAATTCAGACTGTGAGAAAGACTAACCCCGTCTTCCAAGTGCTTGTGGTCCTCTTCCTGCTGGAGGTAACAGCTGTTTGACGTGTGCAACTATTTGCAATGTATGGGTGCCACCTAAACGTTAATTTAATTTAATTCCAGCTAAGTTTTCATGTGAGCAGAAGAGTTTTCTAGAGGTTGAACTATTGCTCAAGCTGTTAAAAAAAGGAACGGCTTTTTAAAAATCATGGTCATATACACATACCATGAAATTTACCATCTTAACCATTTTTAAGTATACAGTTCAGTAATGAACTATACATTCACAGTGTTGTGCAATTTCTAGAACTCTCTTCATCTTGCAAATCTGAAACTTTGTACCCTTTTAAACAGCTCCCCATCCACCCTCTCCAGCCCCTGGAAACCCCCACTCTCTTTTCTGTCTGTTTGGATTTGATTTCTCTAGGCAAGGGGTGGCTTTTAAACCCCTGGCTTGCAGCAGAATCCCCTGGGGAGGCTTTTACAGAACACCCGTGCCTCACCTCCCCCAGAGTCTGCTTGATTCATGGCTCTGAGGTATGCCCTGGTGTCTGTATTTTGAAAAATCCCCTTTGCTCCATGATTCATATTCTCACTCCTGTATTATGACCACTGTTCTAGGGTTGCAATTTTCCACGTTGTTACTGAACCCCTGCTATGAACTGTGTTCCGTGTTAAGAGCTGAACAGGACACATGAATGAGGAAATGCCCTCACAGTTAGTTATCCGTGGGTCTGGGTGCCTTATTAAAGAGTATTCGGTCCTGAACGTGGGACTGGACTATGGAAGCTGTACGGCCACAGGTTTTCTCAGCAATTAGCCTTAGGTCTGTCTGCCTCCCCGATACCCTCCCTTCCCTCCTTTCCCCCCCTTTC